CACGCCGTGATATAACTGGAATACTGTTAAAAGCGGCGTTAAACCCAACTCACTCACTCACTCACTCATAATAACTGATATCTATTATAAGAACATTTGTGGATTTGCTCTGCTATAATATAACAGGTAGACCAACAGAAGTATATTACAATAGGACATCATTCACACTGAAATTACCTTCAATGATTTTTATGTAAAACACAACCTCTGCTGCTTTTCGCCTGCTGTGTTTCGTAGGCTGTTTGGTGGGATATGGATTTTAACAGGGAGTTAAATAAGTCGGAAACTTCAATGTCACTTTTTTAGAAGTTAGTAAATCCATACGTCAGACGTGAACCGTCATGAGAAAGTATAATGGTTGTTTACTGTATATTTTCAGCTTCATACCTAAAACATGTTTGGTGATTTAAAATAAGCCACGAGTAAACGATTTCCTAAAATTCGTCGATCATGAAGCGTCCACTGATGTTCTTATTGTTATTTTCTTTAATTTTAGCCTCTTTCAAACCAATTTAGTCCTACCATTCTTTAGATTGTTCATTGTAGATTGTGTATACGCCCAATGTTATTGGTGTTTCCTGGGTTTCACTCTTGCAGGATTTCTCGTAAGCAGCGCCACATAAATGGCGACTGTGCTTGTCGTAAGAGGCGACTTACGGGATCGGGTGGTCAGGCTCACTGACTTGGTCGATGCATGTCATCGTATCCCAACTGCGTGGATTGATGCTCATGATATCAATCACTGGATTGTCTGGTCCAGATTCGATTATTTACAGACCGTCGTCATATAGCTGGAATATTGCTGAGTGCGGCGTTAAACAACAAAGAAAACAGAGAAAACAAAAATTCCTAAGCAGAGCCTGTACCGGGTTGTCACGTATTTCACTCCTCTCTGTTTTAACCCTTGGACCTTTAAACGGAAACATAAAACGTCTTGCTACTTGAATTAAAATTGTGGGCCCCCCTTACAGAAGATATTCAAGACGTTGAAACAAAGGCTACAAAACACTTTCCACAAGGAAATCCAATCCAATCAATCTTTATTCAAGCACTTAAGAGGCCCCAGGCCTATAGTACATGTTACAGAGATGTTGCACACAATTGTAACTATTATTTCTAAATTTGGTTCTATATAACAGTGCGTGGAATATATACATGGCTAAGTTTTGTATTATTAATTTATCTAGACTGTTTAACAATTGTTAATTTCACAATATTTGGATAATTAAGTAGTATACAGGAATATATTTTTTCTCACAGTGGAGTACAATGGACATATAAGTAAAAAGTGATATTCATCCTCTGTATCTTGGCTATTACCCATTTAATTGTTCTGACCTTGGGGTTTTTGTGTGTCTCCCACTATCGATGCATAAATTATGGGGTGAACATCGAAATCTTGCCAATGAATTGCGGTATTTCTTTATATTTACATAAAACAGATACTGTTCAGTGTATATATGAGTTTTCAACATTCTATAATACAAACATTTATTCGATAATGTCAACGAAAATGACCACGATTGCCTAAAAATCAGTTAGGTAGGGGGATATTCAAAATAACAGATGATTACAGAAATACAAAAAGATATTGAGTAACGGTAATTGATGAATAAGACTGTGAGGTTGTTCCCGGTACTGGACAGCTTCGCCCGAACGCAACGGTCCCAAACAGTAGTGTGTGGCTGCACGTGGAATCATAGACTATGACGCGTGATCCGATTTCTATTGAAGTCAGTCTCGTTATTGTCTTTGTCAAGTAAACGTTTTGTGTTCGTACCTCTGTGTTGTATGTTATATGGGCCAGAAGACCTTACAATGGTGGCAGCGGTGTTGAAGCGTGAACTCATGAAAGAACTTTGAAGAAAGTGCTACTTTAAGGAGAAATTCAAGGAATGTGCTCTTCATCGAACTGTAACGTGAGTTTGTTCCATTTTGCCATTTTGACCTTGTGGTTGAACGTTTTCGTCTACTTTGTGATTGACTTTGAACATTTGAGCAAGAATACTAATCCATTCATCATGGCCGAAGGTGGTACACATCAAGAACATTCTGGTGATATCAAGCACTTCCGAATTCCTTTGTTTGATCCAAAACAGTCAACTTTTGCGAACTTTATTGAAAATGTGTATGAAGTAAAAGCTTGGGGTCTTAATTGGAACTCTGAGAAGAAGTTACGTGGTTTAGCTTTAGTACTTCCTGCAGGGTTTTGCTCACGGGTATTTAACGATATCCCTGATGATAACAAAGCTGATTATGCAATTCTGAAAAATGCTTTGATTAAAGAACTTGATAAGGCCCAAGAGCATACTCAAACTGCTGCTAGGGAGTTCAGAGACATGTGTCAAAAACCCCATGAATCTATTGATGATTTTGCCCACCGTCTTCAGATCAAGGTTGATGAAGCGTACCCCTCATTCGCAAAATCAAACAAAAGTGAACTTTGTGCTCAAAGATTTTTTGATGGCTTGTCTAATAAGAAATTGAGAGAACTGAACATTGCTATTTGTCAGCAATCTAAATCTCCAAAATGTGATGCTCTAGTAGACATAGCTAGACGTCTTGCGGGTTCTCTGTGTGAGGACAATGATAAGTCTGTGTTTCTTATCAAGTGTAATTATTGCAAGAAGCCAGGTCATAAAGAGCGACAGTGTTACAAAAAGAAACGAGATTTAGGTTCATCAAATAGTCACAGCAGATATACTTTTTCAAAATCAGCGGCAGCTGATGGTCGTGATTCAGAGTCAAGTGATAAGTCAAGGTACAGAAACGTTCGGTGTTATAACTGTCGAAAATATGGACATATTGCGACTAATTGTCTAGATAAATCCCCGGTACACTGTTTCTTCAGATACCAACAGTAACTTTTCCCCAAATCCTCAAAATTCACCAACCACCAAAATCCGTCTTGGTAGCGAGTCTTTCACTGCTGTCATAGATAGTGGAGCGAGCGTCTCGTGCATAAGTATGTCTTTGCTTAATAGAGCTTTTCCAAATGGTGTTTGTCTAGAAGAGAACAAAATCTAAATTGACTGATCTGTCTGGTTCTTTGTGCGTTATCGGTGTGTTCGGTCGATACAACTATACAGATTAGTGGTGATCTCTATGATTGTAGATTCCATGTGTTGGATGTTCGTGATGACCATTTGTTGCTAGGATGGGACTTTGTGTAGGTTTCAGGAGATAGTGTTGAAGCCGAAGGAAAAGTCAGCCGACTTTAAAAATCTGGTTACTGATGGCAGTGTACACAAAGCTTATAGATGCATGTAGTACTAGGTGGCTTAACTCGTGATCATGTATTGGTGTATTTGGACGATGTGTTGGTCCATTCCCCTACAGCTGATGAGCATTTGAATACTTTGCGACAGGTATTTGAAAAAATTTGCACCCACTGGTGTTACTTTGAAGTCAGACAAATGTTTCTTCTTCATGAAAAGTGTCCAATATCTTGGTTATGAGATTTCTGCTTCAGGTGTTAGTCTGGGTAAGAAAGGTTTAGAAGCAATCATGCAGTTTCCGGTTCCTATTTCCTCCGGTACCACATTCGTCTTGTGGTTATGTGTATGTGTTTACATGTTTAGATCTGAGTAGGATGTTTTTCGCCTTTCCAGTTCGTACGGCGACGTCATCTAGTGCTGCAACAGTGTTGGAACGTCTGTTTTCCATATTTGGTCCGCCAAGGGTTTTACATATGGATAATGGCACTGTCTTTACATCCAAAGAGTTCAGTATGTTTACTTCCAATTGGGGAATTAGATGTAGTTATACTCCAGTTGCTAGACCACAAGCTAATCCAGTCGAAAGAGCTCACAGAACATTAAAAACTTCGTTAGTGAAAACATCAGAGTGTGAGAAAACATGGGACAGAGTTTTGCCAGAAATTGTATTAGCACATAATTCGTTGATAAATCGCACCACTGGTTTTGCTCCGTATTTTGTTATGTTTGGTCGTAACAGTTTGATTCACCAGTTAGTGTCAGACGATTTTTCTTCTGTGGGGGAGGAAATGGATGGCTGTGTAGAGTTATGGGATAAGTGTGTCGAATCTCATACATTAGCTAAATTACATCGTCAAGAACAGACATCTGAAAGTTTCAAGGATGTTTAATGTTGGTGATCGTGTTGCTGTGAAAATATTAGGAGGACATAAGTTCAAGAAACAGCATTTCAAGTCTGGATTTGTGATATCCAAGTGTTATGGTGAGTTCCTGCAAGTCAAGTCATCAGATCATTCATCGAGAGAAACAGTCGTCGTAAGTGTTGATCAAGTCGTGCCTGACCTTTCTTGAGAGGGGAGGGATGTGAGGTTGTTCCCGGTACTGGACAGCTTCGCCCGAACGCAACGGTCCCAAACAGTAGTGTGTGGCTGCACGTGGAATCATAGACTATGACGCGTGATCCGATTTCTATTGTAGCCAGTCTCGTTATTGTCTGTGTCAAGTAAACGTCTTGTGTTCGTACCTCTGTGTTGTATGTTATATGGGCCAGAAGACCTTACAAGACAAAGGATTTGGTGTTCCGTACAATACAGAAAGACGACAGGGATGTGTGGAGAAAATATGAACGTTTGACATGACTTGATCTATGTGCGTCATACCCCCAAACTGGCGAGACGGACAATATGGAATGGCGTTCTGGCAATCATGGTGATCCCGCCCCATAGCATAACAGACCCACCTTCAATTCTGCCACCGACATTCTAGATTTACTTCCAAAAACAATGATCCATATACAAACATCAATTTCCCCATGCATGGAATTGTATGAACGTCTACATGTACACATGTATATGGCACCCACATGAAGATGGCAGCCACGTGAAGGTGGCACCCACATGAAGATGGCAGCCACGTGACGATGGTACATGCAAACACTATTCACTCGATGAAACCACCTGTTACTTTTACATAAGAGTATACATGTTCCCCAAGCAACATATATTTGACAGAACAACAATATGATAAAAAACGTGTAGTAAAAAATTACTAAAAAGGAATGAATAATTATTATGATTATGCGTTTATTATTATGATTGGAGTAAAACGGGTCAGGTAGTCCGTCGTGGATCCGAATTTAAGAGAAATATTAAGAAACAAGTTCGTCATGGGTTCGCCATTTCCCAGGACTTGATAACGCAATCACTCACTTCATCGAAAGGTGTTGAAGTTCCTGTGTTACGTTAGTGTTCCAAAGTATAAACATTTGGCAAGAAGTGGATCACTATCTGTATAGTACAATGTACTCTTAATTAGCGACAGTAAACCGAAGAACATACATAGACATGAGGTTCAGACAAAAACACATACACAAATGCACAATACGTGAGTCAGGCTGGTGTTGCTGCATCCGCATAACAACATACACATGTTTCTTTGTTTGATGTCAATCCCATTAGTCTCCTTTTACGACAAGTACAGTCGCGTTATACGGCAAGCATGGGTTGCTGAAGTCCTATTCTTACCCAGATCTTCACGGGTCACACACACATGTACATCCTTCCATCGTCAACAGTATTGGTGTAAGTTTCTGGAACATCTCACAAAGTTCCGTCGGCAAGAGAGCATTAGGTCTAGGCTAGTTCATGTTAATAAAGAACATCACGAATATATAATATAAATGCTTTCCACCGTGAATCAGCAAACAGTGTAATGTATCATACGTATAAACTTTCAAGCCACAGTTATTGTGTTGTCATCAGATACCGACTTGTTCAACTAGGGGTGTCAACTTGGTGTTGACGTAGGCCATGTCGGCTTGGGAATTAAAGTATTTGTAATGATGATACCTGCAGCAGCTGCTCTTGAGGTAGGACCGGAGGCCAGCCTCCTTTAAGCTCATATATGCATCATAGATGTCCTTGAAGTTTTCCCTTGATGGTACGTTAGGGAAGACATGCCATTCAACTAGAAACTGGCGGATTTGGGGAAATAGCTGGTCCTTCATGATGTTAGCGGTGACAGCCCACTCGTACACCTCGATGTCAATCTTCAACACGTCGATCACGCGCTGTAAATCCAAAATAGAAACATCATTAGGTGCATGTTAACAGTCTTCAACTGTTTATGATATGAATATTTCAGTGGGTAGGTGAATTTGGGTTTAACGCCGCTTTGAACATTATTCTAGTTATATCAATGTGTGTCAGCTGTGGGAGGAAAGCCCGGTGATGCGGATCTCACTTTGGTGAAAACCACGAGTACGGGTATGGTGCTGACAAACCTAGAAACAATCAGGGCGAACGGGGTTCGAACTCATGACCAGAAGTCTATAGTGTGCCCAACTCTGCACAGCGAATTGCGGCGCCTTAGCCGACTGGGCCAACCGTGCCTCCGGTGATTATTTGCCTCATCTCAATGACTGGAGAAAGCTGATATTTCATTATTATGTATTTCCTTAATGATGTCCAGAAAATCTGAAAATCAAAGTGCTATTAAGGCATAGTAGTTACAGTAAAACGTGCTGTATGTATTTTTAACTTTCAGCCAGAAAAATACAAATAAAGTCAAAAATGGTATTGACGCCAACCGGTTTATGAAATTTACAGTGAGTTGACAAACCCCAAGACGTACGACTAGAGAGGGTTGTCTTGGACAATTCTATCCTATCAGTCTGACTGTTTTTCCCTTCGCATTTGAAAGCCTGTTATAATTTGGTATATGTTTTACTGGGAGTAATATGAAGCCCATAAATTATCATCGTAGCCAGATAAACACAACATATGTATTGTTGGATATTTAATCTCAAACAGTTGAGTGAACGAGTGAGTGAGTGAATGTTGTTTAACGCCCTGGTCATCGCAAAATACTTGGGAATTCCAGGCCCTACTTTTCTGAAACTAACTCTTAATGACCTTGACCTTCAGCAGGTTGTTTCCACATTTTAAACAATTTCGTGTAAATGTGTCGTGATAAGTATGAAGCTTTTTCCATGTTGTTTCACTGACATGACACGATAACAAATATGAAAGTGCCCGTGCTATTGACGTTGCGCAAAGTTCAAACCTGTTACAAACCTCCTCTACCCGTGAAGATCCGGGGTAGAATAGATCTTCAGCAACCCATGCTTGCCGTAAAAGGCTTGATGGGCGACTAAAGGGATCGGGTGGTCAGGCTCGCTGACTTGGTTGATGCATGTCATCGTATCCAGTTGCGTAGATCGATGGTTATGATGTCAATCACCGGACTGTCTGGTCCAGACTCTATTATTTACAGACCGTCGTCATATACCTGGAATATTGCTGAATGCGAGGTTAAACAACAAACAAACAAACCTTCTCGTGCCCCAGCATCGCCATGATGGATTTCAGGGTTCTCATCTTCCAGTTGGTGGAATGTCTGACATACAAGTCAAAGTTTGGATGGAATGAGTCATCGTCGGCTGCGCCCAGACCCAGGTTCATGAAGAGCACCCCATCAGAGTGTTTGTGGTCCACCATCCCCATGCTGAAACAGTGACGATGAGTTTGGTTTAACGCCGCTTTGAACAGCATTTTCAAGAGTGCATGAGTTTGGTTTTACGGCTGTTCGAGCTATATTCCCCAAATATCACGGCAGGGGACACCAGAAATTATCTTCATGGTTTCTACCCATGTGGGGATTCGAACCCAGGCCGTCGGCATGTCAGCTTAATGGAAGAAAGCCCAATAGTACTTAACATCCTCAACATTCCGGATGAATCAGGGCCGAGACGTTAACAACTTTGGGGGAGCCACGAGCACAGGTACAAGGTGCTGACTAACAAAGATCATTAGAAGAATTAAATAAATAGAAGAATTCAGAATTCAAAATTACTAAAACGAAGTTAAGAATTTCGGCCAAACATTATAGGACAACTAATTAAGTCACTGATATTCATTTATTCTAATAACGTTCATGCATGGCAATAGTCTACATAATTGAAGAACATACCTCGGATCAAAACTATACACAGTACAACCTCGCTTCGCCATAGCTTCATCGAAACTGAAGTCATAGTTTATACTGAAACAAATCAATACAGGTTATCAAGAAATTGCGCACAATACCTGACATGGTTTGATTTGCTGTTACTGTGAGTGAAAGCGTCGTCGAATTGTGTATAAGTCGAGAGTAATATTAAGCAGGACGTAGGACAATATGAACATTAACCAATGCAATAGGAACAAAGTACTTGGTAATAAGAAGCAGAACGTGGGACAATATAGATATTATGCAGGGTAACATGAACAATATCCTAAGTAATATAAAGCAGAATGTAAGAAAATATTATTATTATGCAACGTAATAGGAACAATATCCTTGGTAATATCAAGCAGGACGTAGGATTATTGAACGTTGACCAATGCAATAGGAACAATATCCTTGGTAATATCAAGCAGGACGTAGGATTATTTGAACGTTGACCAATGCAATAGGAACAATATCCTTGGTAATATCAAGCAAGCAAGCAAGTAATGCAATATGATCATTATGCAGTGTAATATCCACAATATCTTTGGTAATATAAAACGGGACGTGGGACAATATAAACTTTATGCAGGGTAATATGAACAATATCCTTCGGTAAAACAAATTGTTGTGGGATTTGCTCTCACAATCTTCCGCTTTGGATAGTAAGTACCTTACCCGAAAGAGTACACAAGACAGTTTCCTTTGGGCCTGTAGGGTTCGTCCCAGCAAACAGGCCAGTTTCCCATATACTCCATATTCTGGCACTGATAGCCGTTACCACTATCCATGTCCCTGCAACACATTTCTCTGTCATATATGTATGCTAACAATCAGATCTTTTACTACATTGCGCAACCAGTGGAAGGTTGAGTCAAGGAAACTTCAAATCGTCAATCACCGTAGAGGATTTTGTGAGCGAAGCTTTCAAACAAGCATGTCTGATTTACGTATCTCGAAAACGAATGTACTCGGTGATTTCCGAATGCAAAAAAATAAAGCCGCGCTATTAAATTGTAGATATTTAATACATCCGATCGTTTCTCCGCGCCATTTGTAGAACTTGACCAGACGTGAAGTACATCACACAAACCATTCTATCAGACACGCCCATTGCCACCAGAGCGTTGCCGGGGGTCGAGGTGTTTCCCCTGAAAGAAGGAACAACCCTTTAAAAAGGAAGTTCAATGTACCATAACATTGATGTAGCTTATATCAAAAGGGGTAAACACGCCATCAGTTCAGTTAACAAAATTTCCGATCCGGAAAGACGTACTCAAAAAACATGGACATACCAAGGGCAATATCAGAGGGAATACTAGGGACAACAACAGGAGACATACAAAGGAAAATACAGGGGGAATACTAGGAGCAACAACAGGAGACATACAAAGGAAAATACAGGGGGGAAACTAGTCTCAATAACAGGAGACATACAAAGGAAAATACAGGGGGAATACTAGTCTCAATAACAGGAGACATACAAAGGAAAATACAGGGGGGAAACTAGTCTCAATAACAGGAGACATACAAAGGAAAATACAGGGGGAAAACTAGTGGCAACAGGAGACATACAAAGGAAAATACAGGGGGAAAACTAGGGGCAAAAACAGGAGACATACAAAGGAAAATACAGGGGGAATACTAGTGACAACAACAGGAGACATACAAAGGAAAATACAGGGAGAAAACTAGTGGCAACAACAGGAGACATACAAAGGAAAATACAGGGGGAATAATAGTGGCAACAACAGGAGACATACAAAGGAAAATACAGGGGGAATACTAGTGACAACAACAGGAGACATACAAAGGAAAATATAGGGGGAATACTAGGGGCAACAACAGGAGACATACAAAGGAAAATACAGGGAGAATACTAGGGGCAACAACAGGAGACATACAAAGGGAAATACAGGGAGAAAACTAGTGACAACAACAGGAGACATACAAAGGAAAATACAGGGAGAAAGCTAGTGACAACAACAGGAGACATACAAAGGAAAATACAGGGAGAAAACTAGTGGCAACAACAGGAGACAAACAAAGGAAAATACAGGGGGAATACTAGTGACAACAACAGGAGACATACAAAGGAAAATACAGGGAGAAAACTAGTGGCAACAACAGGAGACATACAAAGGAAAATACAGGGGGAATACTAGTGACAACAACAGGAGACATACAAAGGAAAATACAGGGGGAATACTAGTGACAACAACAGGAGACATACAAAGGAAACTACAGGGGGAATACTAGGGGCAACAACAGGAGACATACAAAGGAAAATACAGGGAGAAAACTAGTGACAACAAAAGGAGACATACAAAGGAAAATACAGGGGGAATACTAGTGGCAACAACAGGAGACATACAAAGGAAAATACAGGGGGAAAACTAGTGGCAACAACAGGAGACATACAAAGGAAAATACAGGGGGAATACTAGTGACAACAACAGGAGACATACAAAGGAAAATACAGGGGGAATACTAGGGGCAACAACAGGAGACATACAAAGGGAAATACAGGGGGAATGCGAGGGGCAACAACAGGAGACATACAAAGGAAAATACAGGGAGAAAACTAGTGGCAACAACAGCGGATATACAAAGTGAAATACAGGGGGGAAACTAGGGACAACAACAGCGGATATACAAAGTGAAATACAGGGGACAAACTAGGGAACACAACAGCAGATATGCTAAGTGAAATACAGGGGACGAACTAGGGACAACAACAGCGGACATACTAAGTGAAATACAGGGGACAAACTAGGGACAACAACAGCGGACATACTAAGTGAAATACAGGGGACAAACTAGGGACAACAACAGCGGACATACAAAGTGAAATACAGGGGACAAACTAGGGACAACAACAGCGGACATACTAAGTGAAATACAGGGGGGAAACTAGGGACAACAACAGCGGATATACTAAGTGAAATACAGGGGACAAACTAGGGACAACAACAGCGGATATACAAAGTGAAATACAGGGGACAAACTAGGGACAACAACAGCGGATATACAAAGTGAAATACAGGGGGGAAACTAGGGACAACAACAGCGGATATACAAAGTGAAATACAGGGGACAAACTAGGGAACACAACAGCAGATATGCTAAGTGAAATACAGGGGACGAACTAGGGACAACAACAGCGGACATACTAAGTGAAATACAGGGGACAAACTAGGGACAACAACAGCGGACATACTAAGTGAAATACAGGGGACAAACTAGGGACAACAACAGCGGACATACAAAGTGAAATACAGGGGACAAACTAGGGACAACAACAGCGGACATACTAAGTGAAATACAGGGGACAAACTAGGGACAACAACAGCGGATATACAAAGTGAAATACAGGGGACAAACTAGGGAACACAACAGCAGATATGCTAAGTGAAATACAGGGGACGAACTAGGGACAACAACAGCGGACATACTAAGTGAAATACAGGGGACAAACTAGGGACAACAACAGCGGATATACTAAGAGAAATACAGGGGACAAACTAGGGACAACAACAGCGGACATACCAAGTGAAATACAGGGGACAAACTAGGGACAACAACAGCGGACATACCAAGTGAAATACAGGGGGGAAACTAGGGACAACAACAGCGGATATACTAAGTGAAATACAGGGGACAAACTAGGGACAACAACAGCGGGCATACCAAGTAAAATACAGGGGACAAACTAGGGACAACAACAGCGGACATACTAAGTCAAATACAGGGGACAACAACAGCGGACATACAAAGTGAAATACAGGGGGAAACTAGGGACAACAACAGCGGACATACTAAGTGAAATACAGGGGACAAACTAGGGACAACAACAGCGGACATACAAAGTGAAATACAGGGGACAAACTAGGGACAACAACAGCGGACATACTAAGTGAAATACAGGGGGGAAACTAGGGACAACAACAGCGGACATACTAAGTGAAATACAGGGGACAAACTAGGGAACATAACAGCGGATATACTAAGTGAAATACAGGGGACAACAACAGCGGACATACAAAGTGAAATACAGGGGGGAAACTAGGGACAACAACAGCGGACATACAAAGTGAAATACAGGGGGGAAACTAGGGACAACAACAGCGGATATACAAAGTGAAATACAGGGGACAAACTAGGGAACACAACAGCGGATATACTAAGAGAAATACAGGGGACGAACTAGGGACAACAACAGCGGACATACTAAGTGAAATACAGGGGACAAACTAGGGACAACAACAGCGGATATACTAAGAGAAATACAGGGGACAAACTAGGGACAACAACAGCGGACATACCAAGTGAAATACAGGGGACAAACTAGGGACAACAACAGCGGACATACCAAGTGAAATACAGGGGACAAACTAGGGACAACAACAGCGGACATACCAAGTGAAATACAGGGGACAAACTAGGGAACACAACAGTGGGCATACTAAGTGAAATACAGGGGGGAAACTAGGGACAACAACAGCGGGCATACAAAGTGAAATACAGGGGACAAACTAGGGACAACAACAGCGGACATACAAAGTGAAATACAGGGGACAAACTAGGGACAACAACAGCGGACATACTAAGTGAAATACAGGGGGGAAACTAGGGACAACAACAGCGGATATACTAAGTGAAATACAGGGGACAAACTAGGGACAACAACAGCGGGCATACCAAGTGAAATACAGGGGACAAACTAGGGACAACAACAGCGGACATACTAAGTGAAATACAGGGGACAACAACAGCGGACATACAAAGTGAAATACAGGGGGGAAACTAGGGACAACAACAGCGGACATACAAAGTGAAATACAGGGGGGAAACTAGGGACAACAACAGCGGGCATACCAAGTGAAATACAGGGGACAAACTAGGGACAACAACAGCGGACATACTAAGTGAAATACAGGGGACAAACTAGGGACAACAACAGCGGATATACAAAGTGAAATACAGGGGGGAAACTAGGGACAACAACAGCGGATATACAAAGTGAAATACAGGGGACAAACTAGGGAACACAACAGCGGATATACTAAGAGAAATACAGGGGACGAACTAGGGACAACAACAGCGGACATACTAAGTGAAATACAGGGGACAAACTAGGGACAACAACAGCGGATATACTAAGAGAAATACAGGGGACAAACTAGGGACAACAACAGCGGACATACCAAGTGAAATACAGGGGACAAACTAGGGACAACAACAGCGGACATACCAAGTGAAATACAGGGGACAAACTAGGGACAACAACAGCGGACATACCAAGTGAAATACAGGGGACAAACTAGGGAACACAACAGTGGGCATACTAAGTGAAATACAGGGGGGAAACTAGGGACAACAACAGCGGACATACTAAGTGAAATACAGGGGACAAACTAGGGACAACAACAGCGGACATACAAAGTGAAATACAGGGGACAAACTAGGGACAACAACAGCGGACATACTAAGTGAAATACAGGGGGGAAACTAGGGACAACAACAGCGGATATACTAAGTGAAATACAGGGGACAAACTAGGGACAACAACAGCGGGCATACCAAGTGAAATACAGGGGACAAACTAGGGACAACAACAGCGGACATACTAAGTGAAATACAGGGGACAACAACAGCGGACATACAAAGTGAAATACAGGGGGGAAACTAGGGACAACAACAGCGGACATACAAAGTGAAATACAGGGGGGAAACTAGGGACAACAACAGCGGGCATACCAAGTGAAATACAGGGGACAAACTAGGGACAACAACAGCGGACATACTAAGTGAAATACAGGGGACAAACTAGGGACAACAACAGCGGATATACAAAGTGAAATACAGGGGGGAAACTAGGGACAACAACAGCGGATATACAAAGTGAAATACAGGGGACAAACTAGGGAACACAACAGCAGATATGCTAAGTGAAATACAGGGGACGAACTAGGGACAACAACAGCGGACATACTAAGTGAAATACAGGGGACAAACTAGGGACAACAACAGCGGACATACTAAGTGAAATACAGGGGACAAACTAGGGACAACAACAGCGGACATACAAAGTGAAATACAGGGGACAAACTAGGGACAACAACAGCGGACATACTAAGTGAAATACAGGGGGGAAACTAGGGACAACAACAGCGGATATACTAAGTGAAATACAGGGGACAAACTAGGGACAACAACAGCGGATATACAAAGTGAAATACAGGGGACAAACTAGGGACAACAACAGCGGATATACAAAGTGAAATACAGGGGGGAAACTAGGGACAACAACAGCGGATATACAAAGTGAAATACAGGGGACAAACTAGGGAACACAACAGCAGATATGCTAAGTGAAATACAGGGGACGAACTAGGGACAACAACAGCGGACATACTAAGTGAAATACAGGGGACAAACTAGGGACAACAACAGCGGACATACTAAGTGAAATACAGGGGACAAACTAGGGACAACAACAGCGGACATACAAAGTGAAATACAGGGGACAAACTAGGGACAACAACAGCGGACATACTAAGTGAAATACAGGGGGGAAACTAGGGACAACAACAGCGGATATACTAAGTGAAATACAGGGGACAAACTAGGGACAACAACAGCGGGCATACCAAGTAAAATACAGGGGACAAACTAGGGACAACAACAGCGGACATACTAAGTCAAATACAGGGGACAACAACAGCGGACATACAAAGTGAAATACAGGGGGAAACTAGGGACAACAACAGCGGACATACTAAGTGAAATACAGGGGACAAACTAGGGACAACAACAGCGGACATACAAAGTGAAATACAGGGGACAAACTAGGGACAACAACAGCGGACATACTAAGTGAAATACAGGGGACGAACTAGGGACAACAACAGCGGACATACTAAGTGAAATACAGGGGACAAACTAGGGAACATAACAGCGGATATACTAAGTGAAATACAGGGGACAACAACAGCGGACATACAAAGTGAAATACAGGGGGGAAACTAGGGACAACAACAGCGGACATACAAAGTGAAATACAGGGGGGAAACTAGGGACAACAACAGCGGATATACAAAGTGAAATACAGGGGGGAAACTAGGGACAACAACAGCGGATATACAAAGTGAAATACAGGGGACAAACTAGGGAACACAACAGCGGATATACTAAGAGAAATACAGGGGACGAACTAGGGACAACAACAGCGGACATACTAAGTGAAATACAGGGGACAAACTAGGGACAACAACAGCGGATATACTAAGAGAAATACAGGGGACAAACTAGGGACAACAACAGCGGACATACCAAGTGAAATACAGGGGACAAACTAGGGACAACAACAGCGGACATACCAAGTGAAATACAGGGGACAAACTAGGGACAACAACAGCGGACATACCAAGTGAAATACAGGGGACAAACTAGGGAACACAACAGTGGGCATACTAAGTGAAATACAGGGGGGAAACTAGGGACAACAACAGCGGGCATACAAAGTGAAATACAGGGGACAACAACAGCGGACATACAAAGTGAAATACAGGGGGGAAACTAGGGACAACAACAGCGGACATACAAAGTGAAATACAGGGGGGAAACTAGGGACAACAACAGCGGGCATACCAAGTGAAATACAGGGGACAAACTAGGGACAACAACAGCGGACATACTAAGTGAAATACAGGGGACAAACTAGGGACAACAACAGCGGATATACAAAGTGAAATACAGGGGGGAAACTAGGGACAACAACAGCGGATATACAAAGTGAAATACAGGGGACAAACTAGGGAACACAACAGCGGATATACTAAGAGAAATACAGGGGACGAACTAGGGACAACAACAGCGGACATACTAAGTGAAATACAGGGGACAAACTAGGGACAACAACAGCGGATATACTAAGAGAAATACAGGGGACAAACTAGGGACAACAACAGCGGACATACCAAGTGAAATACAGGGGACAAACTAGGGACAACAACAGCGGACATACCAAGTGAAATACAGGGGACAAACTAGGGACAACAACAGCGGACATACCAAGTGAAATACAGGGGACAAACTAGGGAACACAACAGTGGGCATACTAAGTGAAATACAGGGGGGAAACTAGGGACAACAACAGCGGACATACTAAGTGAAATACAGGGGACAAACTAGGGACAACAACAGCGGACATACAAAGTGAAATACAGGGGACAAACTAGGGACAACAACAGCGGACATACTAAGTGAAATACAGGGGGGAAACTAGGGACAACAACAGCGGATATACTAAGTGAAATACAGGGGACAAACTAGGGACAACAACAGCGGGCATACCAAGTGAAATACAGGGGACAAACTAGGGACAACAACAGCGGACATACTAAGTGAAATACAGGGGACAACAACAGCGGACATACAAAGTGAAATACAGGGGGGAAACTAGGGACAACAACAGCGGACATACAAAGTGAAATACAGGGGGGAAACTAGGGACAACAACAGCGGGCATACCAAGTGAAATACAGGGGACAAACTAGGGACAACAACAGCGGACATACTAAGTGAAATACAGGGGACAAACTAGGGACAACAACAGCGGATATACAAAGTGAAATACAGGGGGGAAACTAGGGACAACAACAGCGGATATACAAAGTGAAATACAGGGGACAAACTAGGGAACACAACAGCGGATATACTAAGTGAAATACAGGGGACAAACTAGGGACAACAACAGCGGACATACTAAGTGAAATACAGGGGACAAACTAGGGACAACAACAGCGGACATATAAAGTGAAATACAGGGGACAAACTAGGGAACACAACAGCGGATATACTAAGTGAAATACAGGGGACAAACTAGGGACAACAACAGCGGACATACTAAGTGAAATACAGGGGACAAACTAGGGACAACAACAGCGGACATACAAAGTGAAATACAGGGGACAAACTAGGGACAACAACAGCGGACATACGAAGTGAAATACAGAGGACAAACTAGGGACAACAACAGCGGACATACAAAGTGAAATACAGGGGACAAACTAGGGACAACAACAGCGGGCATACTAAGTGAAATACAGGGGACAAACTAGGGACAACAACAGCGGACATACAAAGTGAAATACAGGGGACAAACTAGGGACAACAACAGCGGGCATACTAAGTGAAATACAGGGGACAAACTAGGGAACACAACAGTGGGCATACTAAGTGAAATACAGGGGGGAAACTAGGGACAACAACAGCGGACATACTAAGTCAAATACAGAGGACAAACTAGGGACAACAACAGCGGACATACGAAGTGAAATACAGGGGGGAAACTAGGGACAACAACAGCGGACATACGAAGTGAAATACAGGGGACAAACCAGGGACAACAACAGCGGACATACGAAGTGAAATACAGGGGACAAACCAGGGACAACAACAGCGGACATACTAAGTGAAATACAGGGGACAAACCAGGGACAACAACAGCGGACATACTAAGTGAAATACAGTGGGGAAACTAGGGACAACAACAGCGGACATACTAAGTGAAATACAGGGGGGAAACTAGGGATAACAACAGCGGACATACTAAGTGAAATACAGGGGGGAAACTAGGGACAACAACAGCGGACATACTAAGTGAAATACAGGGGGGAAACTAAGGACAACAACAGCGGACATACAAAGTGAAATACAGGGGGGAAACTAGGGACAACAACAGCGGGCATACTAAGTGAAATACAGGGGGTAAACTAGGGACAACAACAGCGGACATACAAAGTGAAATACAGGGGGGAAACTAGGGACAACAACAGCGGGCATACTAAGTGAAATACAGGGGACAAACTAGGGACAACAACAGCAGATATACAAAGTGAAATACAGGGGACAAACTAGGGACAACAACAGCGGATATACTAAGTGAAATACAAGGGGAAAACTAGGGACAAAAACAGGGAAATACAAGGAGACATATAAAGGGAAATACAAGGGGCAATACTGGATGACCGAACGTTACACGTGATCTTAATATGTCAAATGAAATTCCATTTTGCACACGACACCAACTGTTGTCTGATAGCGTTGTCTTAAGTCCAAGAACGTGTGGGTCCCGATGATGTAGGACTCGTCTTTGGGATTGATCGGGGCTTGAAAGAGCACTCGGTGGCGGTACATCGAGTCGATTGAAGTTTGATTTTACACTGTACCTTTCCATATTTCACACAGGTCGGGCGTGGTCGGGATCCAAAGGCCCCTAGGACGGTTGCGGATCACAAGGGTCACGAAACCCCCGAGGATGAGCAGAGAGATGAGGGTGATCCTGAGGATCCATCTTTTCCTGACGTAGTTCCCCGAGTAAGAGGCCACGTGCACGACTGAACTTGCCTTGCCGAACATCCTCCACCACAACTAACTGCATGGAAACAGATATACTATACAATACAAACCTAATGTATACAGTGAAATAAAGACCAGACCGTCACTGTCACTACGTGCGAGCGCGCGCACGCACGCACGCACGCACGCACACACGCACACACACACACAAAACACGCACGAACACGAACACACACAAAACACGCACAATACAAACCTAATGTATACAGTGAAATAAAGACCAGACCGTCACTGTCACTACGTGCGAGCGCACGCACGCACACACACACACACACACAAAACACACACAAAACACACACACACACACACACACACACACACACAAAACACACACAAAACACAAAACACAAAACACACACACACACACAAAACACACACACACACACAAAACACACACACACACAAAACACGCACGAACACGAACACACACAAAACACGCACGAACACGAACACACACACACGAACACGAAAAAAAACACATACACAAACACGAACACACACACACACACGAACACACGCACGCACGAACGAACACACACACACGAACACGAACACGAAAACACACACACACGTGAATGTTAAGTATCTCCGTGTGTTAAATTTACGTTGCTTGGGGCACAGTTTGAGAGAATGTTTTTCACACTTTTACAGACCAAGTTGAGGCTTACAGTAGCATATTTGTCATTTGATGGTGACTATGTGTTAGAATTATTACATTGAAATAACCATGTTTTCTTAGTATACATATCCTATTAGATTGAAATTAGATGACTTTACCTACAATTATTTGTTTGACCTATCCAAATATATAAATAGGTGTATTATGCCTGTTTCAACGGGAAGGCGATAACACCATCTGCTACGTATCAACAGGTTTAAGGTTACATCACAGTCACATGAATCAATTAGCATAATTTGAGTCATTTCTGTATAAACTGGTCATAGCGGCAGGCAGACAGACACGTGATAGTTGAGCTATTGAAGGAAAGCTTAGCCCATTTTAAATACATTTATTATGGAATCCCAGAAAGGACATTATCGCAGTGTCGCCCTTACAAAAAAAATAGGCAAAATGTGTCAAAATTAACCAAAGCGCGACAATGCCAATGCGACAATGTCCCTCCCAGAATTCCATACAATGTTGAATCCAAATGGCATAAAGACATAGTTTTTTATTGATTTATTTACCTTCAAATTTGGCCACAACTGGGACGGCAACAAACACTAGCTTTGATACACGTAAGTTTACTCAGCTTCAGTCCATCTCTCAAAATACAACCTCTAAGACACGGTAGGCGCGACACAGTGGAACAACGGACTGATGGTGATGTGCCTCAGTCAGCTGCAAAGCCCGCACTACGATGCTGGTGACAAACGTATCTCATATGTCACCTGCTTAATGCTTAAATTTGACTGATTCTAAACTCTATCAGACCATGATTTCATGTTTTTCGTATTCGGAAAAATGCAGTGAAAAACTGACCGATTCGTCATGCCTTGATTGATTTCCTGACATCACAGTCTTTGGTTTCTTATGACGCAATTGTTCTTTCTTTGCTGATTTATTGAATGACGACGACAGCATCTAAACAATCAAGATGATAAATGAGAAATGTCATTTCTCTATCGATTCACTTTTATGTTTATTTTAAATCTGGCCTTTCTTTCTCCACGGCTCTTTGCCTAACAATCCCAACAATGAAGCTATCGCAATGGTTATCATCATTTCAAAGGTTGGAATTGTTAAACTGTTCTTGATATTGGGAAGCATTTTTAACAGTATGACATAAGTGGCCCAGTCGTCTAAGGCGCCGCGATTCACTGTGAAGAGTTGCGTCCCTTGGGCACGCCAGAAACCTATGATTGTGGGTTCGAATCCCGGTTCGCCCCGATTATGTTTCTAGGTTTGTCAGCACCATACCCGTGCTCGTGGGTTTCACCGAAGTGGTAAACGTCTGACCTGCATCACTTCGGGCTTTCCTCCCACATTAATCTGACACGCCGCGATATAACTGGAATACTGTTAAAAGCGGCGTTAAACCCAACTCACTCACTCACTTTGACGTAAGCAGTGTTTATGATAACTACCAAATAGTAATGATGCCAGGTGTTTCTCGAAAAGGTGAGCGTAAACAATGACCCAAAACCAAACGTAAGCATGTTCCTTGTCTCATAATTTTAACGCGTTTAAATGTTCAATCACATTTAATTCGAGTTTCAAATCTAAACTTTTTTTTAGGTCTAGATCTGTATTATAAATATATTATTAATAACCCTAAACGCATAAATATTATAGGGTAGGGAGCGTGAATAGATTTCGGTTTACGATCTAAACACGTGTTTTCAATCTAAACCTGTTTACCAGTGAAAATGATTTTTGAAAATGGGTTTACAGAACAAGGAATCAAGTGCTTATAAACGGATGGACAGAGGAGCTTCTGATTATGCAATTGAAAATTGAAATAACTGTTGTTAAATTTGATTATGTCTATTTAACCACCACTCATTTCTGCAAACGTTTGTAAAATGTAATCTGTGGCTGCGTAATTTTGTGTAAAAATATATTATTGGTTCAGTGAAAAGAAATATAAGAAATGACTATGCAACCACATGACACCTACAATATTTGAAACTGTGTAAACTTGTGCCGAAAACAAAACACATTTATTGATTAACAAACACATGATGTCTAAGAAACCCACCATCAGTTGTGTAGTGTGCGAAACAATTCCTTTTTATGTTTTTAATTTTTTAAATCAAAATACATTTACTTTGAAAAAATATAACCATTTACAGAAAACTACGTTTATAACGAACACGCTTATAACGAACAGACGAATATATAACGAATATATTTTTTGGTCCCGGCCATTTGTTGTATACATGCTGTATATATGCTTATAACGAACTACGGTTATAACGAACTAAAATTAGTGATCCCTTTGGGTTCGTTATAACCGTAGTTTACTGTACATGTATTCTTTGAGTGCTGACTAAGCGCCAGTAGAGATCGTGTTTTGGACATAGTATGGCTAACTTGAATTGAAATTGAAAGAAACATTTTAAAATATAGTTTCTTTTGCTCCTCAATTTAGTATTATTGCACTTACTAAGAACCAAAACATCATAATAACTGGGGGCACGGGTGGCCCAGTCGTCAAAGGCGCCGCGATTCGCTGTGCAGAGTTGCCCAAAAGCTTAGCCCATTTTAAATACATTTATTATGGAATCCCAGAAAGGACATTATCGCAGTGTCGCCCTTACAAAAAAAATAGGCAAAATGTGTCAAAATTAAACAAAGCGCGACAATGCCAATGCGACAATGTCCCTCCCAGAATTCCATACAATGTTGAATCCAAATGGCATAAAGACATAGTTTTTTATTGATTTATTTACCTTCAAATTTGGCCACAACTGGGACGGCAACAAAGAAGCGATCAATAAAGGACTAGTTTGCAGTATGCAACAAAATATATAAAGCCACGTATTTGTGAACAATAGTACGTGAATGAACAAACGAACGAACGAACGAACGAATATTCCAGAATTACCCCCTCCACCTTTCATGAAAATATCATGACATAACCCGCCCCATTCAAGGAACGTTAGCTACTTAGACATACCTAATTGTTGCGGGCCCCGTCACACAAAGCGATCTTAGCACTAAAACAGCCGTAGATATGTGTTGTATTGCATGTGGGCATGAGAGGATTTAAATTAGTTATCCCCAATCCACTTCCACCCCTTCCACTTACCTTCGCGGCGAATATATTTCACGAAGAACGCTATCTCGGGCGCTGGAAAAACCAAATGCTGTTGAAGGGAAGTTAAAATTCTAAGTGAAATACAGGGGACAAACTAGGGACAACAACAGCGGACAGCGGAAGGGAAGTTAAAATTCGAAAGATTGTAAATCGACCAACTGACACGTACGAGCCATGCATGCTCCGGCGTCAATAAATGGATAAGTTACATCAACAGCTGACACCCTCCATGTTCATTGATTGCTTTAGTCAACAACGAAATGTTTCACTATACGAATTGTATGCTTCAATTGTCTGGTAATTGCGAGCTTGTGGTCGTAATACACATATGTGAATGTTTAATATAGTTGATGTTATTTAGGCGACTGTTGTCACAAATCTGGATTAAATATTTTCCTCAAAACAGTAATTCTATCTATTTGGCGACCCACGCTCAACCAGCATTTTCTCCCGATGTTACTGTTTTAGTACGTGGCATTTGTTCCATTTATTGACTGACTGAGCGGGGTTAACATGGCAACGTTTGTCAACCACGCACCCGCCATATGACGCGCCAAACCGGCCAATTTCTCATCTTTCGTCAGGCAGAAGGCCCGACTTCGATTCTCCGCGTGAGTACAGGCATATTTCTGGTGTCACCCACCGTAATATTGCTGGAATATTGCTAAAAGCAGCGAAAAACCTCACTCACTCACTCACTCACTCGTTGAGATCAACCATAGTTATAAACGTTAAGAACGGGATAGAATAGGTCTTCAGCAACCCATGCTTGCCGTAAAAAGGGACTATTCTTGTAAGACGTGACTAGCGGGATCGGGTGGTCAGACTCGCTGACTTGGTTGATGGATGTCATCATATCCCAATTGCGTAGATCGATGCTCGTGATGTCTATCACTGGATTCTCTGGTCCAGACTCCATTATTTACAGAATGCCGTCATGTAGCTGGAATATAGCTGAGTGCGGCGTTAGACAACAAACAAAGGTACAGGAATGATAAAATGACTAAATGATCAGCTACAGTGCGGCCGGTATTACTTGGAATACCTGGGCAGACTGTTACAGCTGACTCATCGTCACGAGGTCCCAGCTTGTAAGACTGCATTACAAATACTCTGCTATTTGTTACAACACGATGTTGCAAGTGTGCTAATATGTTAATTACAAATGTCATCACATTTAAGACTACATAAATATAAAAGCAAACAGTACTTCAAAAAATCAAATATGACCGTTTTCAACTTTAAAACTATTTAAATTTAGCGCGAAAATTATGAATAGTTTAATTCTGAATTGACACGGTGACTTACGAATAGGGTAGCAGGAGAGGTAACAAGCTTCATTTATACAGAAAATTGAAGTCTAACAGTTGATGCTGAGTGTTATATATACAACTATCTGCCTTACGGGAGTTCCTCAGCTAAATTCAGATGTAGGGTACGGCCGAATTCGGCTAAAGGGAAGCCACATAATATGTTGGGACATGAAGATATGCTGGCACGCCTGTCGAGGTAAGAACTGACAAGATTCAGACAAAGAGGTTTGTTTAATGCCATCGCCCAGTATACACTGAAATCCGTTAAATAGCCTTTGTAGTAAATGTGAGAGAGAGAGGGAGTGAGTATGATTTTACGCCGCTTTTAGCAATATTCTTGCAATATCGCGGCGAGCGACACCCGAAATGGTTTTATTTGTTTGTTTGTTGTTTAACGCCGCACTCAGCAATATTCCAGCTATGTGACGGCAGTCTGTAAATAATCGAGTCTGGATCAAACAATTCAGTGATTGATTTCATGAGCATCGATCGAAGCAATTGGATTGGGCACCGCCCTGTAATAAATGTAATGGGGTGAAGTCAGGTGAAATGGGAGGTAACGTCGCGTTCAAGATATTACTTGACTTGTATGCAGACACGCATCTGTCTGGCTGCTCTGTACTGGTCCAGACTTAAGTCGGGTTTATAGTGATAGCCCATTGAGATCGAGTGTGACACAACTTCGCTTTCTGATTATGCTGTGTTTATAACACAGATCGAGTGTGATACACTTAGCTTTCTGATTATGTTGTGTTTATAACACAGATCGAGTGTGACACAACTTAGCTTTCTGATTATGCAGTGTATATAACACAGATCGAGTGTGACACACTTAGCTTTCTGATTATGTAGTGTATATAACACAGATCGAGTGTGACACACTTAGCTTTCTGATTATGTAGTGTATATAACACAGATCGAGTGTGATACACTTAGCTTTCTGATTATGTAGTGTATATAACACAGATCGAGTGTGACACACTTAGCTTTCTGATTATGTAGTGTATATAACACAGATCGAGTGTGACACACTAAGCTTTCTGATTATGTAGTGTATATGACACACATCGAGTGTGACACACTTAGCTTTCTGATTATGTAGTGTATATAACACAATTGTATAACACGTCCTTCCTCCCGCATGTTTTCATGTAATCGTTGTAACATATAACTCTGCATGTAACATCTAATATTTTTTGTGTTAATCTATCTATCTATCTATCTATCTATCTATCTATCTATCTATCTATCTCTCTATCTCTCTCTCTCTCTCTCTCTCTCTCTCTCTCTCTCTCTCTCTCTCTCTCTCTCTCAATCTGTGTTATATACACTACATAATCAGAAAGCTAAGTGTGTCACACTCGACCTGTATTTTGACAGTATTTAAGTAGAGCGCCCAATGGCGTTCACAAGTATAATGGAGTCTCCAGGAATTGGTGAAAGTGATATATTGAGTGTAAACACGTTTCTCGTCAGGCGTTGTTTTCTGAATGTGTATGACGAGAGCTTTTAATTCGGTGGATTCTTGGCCATGTTCAGGCTAAAGTAATCAATTATGATTCCTGTTGCTGTTTCAGTATTTGTGGAATGCTAATTTTAATATTACTTACAGGGGCCCAGGATCTTTTAAAAGGGGGTTCCTTCAACTTGGGCCATTTGTTCCCCATTTGTGGGGGAGTGCTACCAAAAAATCACAAACACGATATGTAAACCATATATACTTGTATTATTTACATTAACAATCAATCAGCATGTTAGCTTGGTAGGATTTTATTTTTTACACTTTAAAAGGTGTGTGTGGCCACACCGAGCCACTGGTTCTGCTTCATTTATAGAAACCACATACAAAACTCTATAACATGAACGTTGTTGTGAGTATAGGCTTTAGGCTGGCCAACAGAATCACTGGCTTTATTTAATAGCAGGCCTTCTGTTATTTATGCTGGACACGGGTCAAAGGACCAGCAGTTGTGTCCTGGAAGCAGCTTCCCTGTTTGTTCACAATTCATGTAGAGGTGTGGGGAATCCATTCGTTACCAACTTGTACTATTCCGGGAACAAACCGAATGAACACCTTCTAGGTTACGGAAAGATACGAGGGATGACGAATGGTGCAGAGTCGCAGACTTATTATGGCAAGGGGAGGTCACTCTTACAACCATGTCCGTCTACCTCACTGGAGGTGAGTGAAGTATCCGTAATATATCCCATGTAGCGCGAGTAAAGTATTTAAACGAACTTTGAGGGCTGGGCCAATTCACTGATTACAACTTACAGATCTCAACATGGGCACCAGACCAGAGTTTCCTTTAAGTACTATCAGCCCCCGTGGGGATCCGGGTTAAAATTAGACCCGCAGCAGCCTAGTCTGGTCATAAGAGGGAGTCGGTACCATGGTTGCATGTGTGTCATCGTATACCCCGACGGAGTACACTGTCTCTCATAATATCAATCACTGGTTTTAATGGTCCAGACTCGAGGCCATCGTCATATAGTTGAATTCTTGCTGAGTGCAGCGTAAACAACAAATAAACAAAAATATTAACGATGTTTGTTTGTTTAGTACCTTATTACACAACAAGTTGCAGCGTTATGATTGATAGCTACGTCGCACTATCCGATTGCTTCCTTCAAGATTCAAGCACTTCGTTAAAAGTATACTCACTGAAGATATTTATAGTGTATGTGAAAACGTGACGTGTCACACTTTGACCTACTTAATTCGGAAAACGTATAAAACAACCAGACAGACGCCGATACAACTGGTGTAGTTATTTGTTGACGTAGGATCAGTCCACACGTATTGGGAGCCGCAGTTCACTGTGCAGAGTTGCGTCCCTTCAGCACGCCAGAAACCAGTGATTGTGGGTTCAAATCCCTGTTCGCCCCGATCATGTTTCTAGGTTTGTCAGCACCATACCCGTGCTCGTGGATTTCACCGAAGTGATTAATGGCTGAGACCTTGATCACTTCGGGCTTTTCTCCCACATTAAGCTGACACGCCGCGCTATAACTTGAATATTGTTAAGAAGCGGCTTTAAACACAACTCACTCCACACAAATTATGTGCGTTCCACCACAGCTGGCGCACGGATATAAAACTGACAATTTTTTCCCAACGGCGTTAACACAAACACGCACAGTCATCTTTCACAACTATATTCCCATCAACGTCGGAATATATTCAGAATATAAAATATAAATGTGCAGCAAGAATAAAAGTAGAAATTTTAATATGTTCTGGGGCGCGTTCCGCGAAGCGATGTATACTCCTATACATAGACCTACGACTGACGTAGCGCGAAGAGGCCCCAGGGTGCCGCTGTACAAAACAACCTTAGCACTACGACAGTCGTAAGTCTATGTTAAAGTATGGGAGTTACGATCACCTTAGCGCTATGATCGCTTTGTACAAGGGCACCCAGATCCCCAACAAAGTATCACCGTCACAAGAGGTTGGACAGCTTGCTTGGTCTAGCTAGGTGACATGGATGGATGCGTTTCAGCGCACGTGGTGGTGTTTGACTTTGCTCGTAATAACAACCACTGGTTATGCTGGCCGTGACTCCTTGATATCGAGGTACAATTGCTGATTTGGGTGTTCAACAACAAACATCGCGGGGACAGCAGATATGATGGAGTATCGTGACGGATATTTGAAATAGAACGTGGTTATGGTCCTAGTGTAGACACACCTTAACTTGTGTCAGTACAATGTATACTTGTATGTGGTGTGTGCATCGGTGAACTGTGTACATAACGTGACGGTGTTTTAATTCATGCTTTACAACATACAGGTCGCATATCTTTTATGTTTTACAACGCATACTTTTATTAAGTCCTTACAACAATTACATCAGGATTATGTCAGAATTCATTTAAGGTGGGATACGTCATCAGCTTACTATTTGGCTGTTTTGCGGCCTTCTCTGCGGCTGCCGCAAGAGAATCTACAGAGAGACAGAGAACCGCCTGGTACGCCTCAAAGATCAGCTGCAGCAGGGTGACAAGTCTGCTATTGAGTATTTAGATGCTTGTGGACACTTGCTTCGTTTGGGATAAAACTGTAAAAGTTATTGAATGTAAAGTTTACATTATCAAAAACTGTCACAAAGTGTTGTTACAAACTGTATAAAATTTATCAAATGTAAAGTGTCATTAAATGTTAAGTATAATATTAAAGTATATATTTAAAGCTGCTTTGCTTTGTTTGTCAGATCTTATCTGGACTATTCCATTTTAAAGTCTGAGGTAACAAGCATAAGGATTAGTGTGCACTCAACCGTTAAAAGTGTTGTTATAAGCTGTCTAACTATTGGGACGTCTAACTAATGGGAGGACACCCTCTCAGCTGGCGTTTCTCTAATTCCTCTGTCTACGCATGGCTGAACATGTTGTTTTAACAAATGTTGGGTTTGATAGGCATTACTTAGAAGTTGACGGATGACAAAGTAGACACAATTTATGGATAACAAATTTTATAATTACTTCTGTAATTTATGGATAACTTAATTAAAGAAGTTGTTATCCATAAATTGTGTCTACTTTGAAATGTTGGGAAAGCGGGGATGAACCAACGCGACATCCAACAAGGGCCTCAGATGACAAACACTGACCTATCATGATCAATAGCCATGGGGGGGGGGGGGGGGGGGGGGGGGCCACGGGTGGCCCAGTCGTCTAAGGCGCTGCGATTCGCTGTGCAGAGTTGCGTCCCTTGGGCACGCCGGAAATCTATGATTGTGGGTTCGAATCCCGGCTCGCCCCGATTATGTTTCTAGGTTTGTCAGCACCATACCCGTGCTCGTGGGTATCACCGAAGTGGTAAACGTCTGAGACCTGCATCACTTCGGGCTTTCCTCCCACATTAAGCTGACACGCCGTGATATAACTGGAATAATGTTAAAAGCGTCGTTAAACACAGCTCACTCACTCACTCACTCACTCAATAGCCATGGTTGGTTGAATATGTTCACTTATTAGTTAATTGCTATTGTTCGATATCACGATCAGCATAATGTACGGATTAACGAATTATGGTCATACATTTCTTCCACGATGACTGGTGATATACATGTAAGACAATGAGAGACTCGTATTAGCAAGAAATTGTCCACAACATTAGCGATCGAGTAAACATAAAATATATAACATAGTTTGGGGTTCGATTGATCGTTAAGTAATTAATCAGTTGTGATAACGCCAAATGGGTTTCGGATTAACACAAAAATATTAGATTATAAATACAGAGATACATGTTACAACGATTATTTTCTAATAATTCATTTGCTTTTAGCCTTAGACAAAAGTAAACAGGCTCGTGTGGATCCAAGAGAGAGAGAGAGAGAGAGAGAGAGAGAGAGGCATTAGCTTAACATTGTCAATGACAGAAAATGGTTAATGTTCAATTAAACACAGATAATTGGATGAAGCCAGATGTACAGTAAGAGTCAAAATAACACGCAGGTAATGAAGCCAAATGGACAGTGAGTATTAAAAAGTTGCGCTGATTGGATACTAATTACAAATAGTCTATTGATCAATTAGATTTTCACAGACAATTAATGTGTATTACTTTTTTCATGTGCCCACTCTTTAAATAATATATATGGTTACAATAATCAAAAGTTTCCTTACTCTCCAGACACTATTATGTGTGCTATACGTGAAATGATACAGCACTTGAAACACACTGTGTCATGTCTGGTTTCATATTGTATTGTTTTGAATGGATACAAACTCCCTCAACACCGGAAAAGGGAGGCAATTAATGGGCAGACAACTCATTGTTTATGTCGCCATCTTGCGGCTGGTCGGCGTGAATGGATCCGTGATTGGACAGTTAATGAGTTTGTTTATGGTCTTGATCATAACTTCCATGGTTATTTTTTTGGTAAATCAAGATGGTGAGCACTGGCGAGTTTTACGCGGGGTTTCAACTGTTTTATCCTCTCGTTAACTTGACGGGATTGCCGATCGACCAGGTTCGTATGAGCACATTGCACATTTCAGTTTGTTGGCTTTAGAAATGGGTTTGGTTCAGCGTTTCCAAAATTATTTCATGAATTTTGAAATGATATTGAAAACAGTTGTATGCTGTTATTCTAGATGATTTGTTCTACTTATTTCTTTAATGAAAGTTTCACCATTTTTAGCAACATTTACCTTCGTCAGTCTACCGTGCGGGCTAGATTTCCCCTTCCTCGACAGGAAAGATACGTAACGCAATATTGAAAACAAGCAGGTTGAAATTGCGTTCACTGGTGTGTACTGATATTGATTGTAAGACTTGAGTGAATGTTATTTGTCTAGATTAAAGTCTAAAGCAAATCTAGGTGTCCTAGTAACTGGAAGTGTCACCATGGTCACGTCCGAGCCTATTCTCAAAGGTTGGATTTCAAGGTTATAGGTGCAAAGTATCATCGACTTGATAGATATAATTCTTTTTGTTTCTATATATATATGTTATAGTGATACATATGGGCTACTTTCACAGTCCAATTTAATCCTTGTAATGCTTTGTATAACTATTATTACCAGTTGATAAGAGGTATGATATTTCAAAGAGTCCCTTGTTGGCTTCTACCTTTAACAATTTCTAGACAATATGCCCATGCTACTTGTTAATATAATTGGCATAAATAACGTACCGTAGCACAAATCTGTAGAAATTTACATGAACACTTATCCTGTTTCAAGATTTATCATGCTAATTTCGAAAAATGTATTGATAAAAAATGTAAACATGGTAAAAGCAAAAAACCTTTAGTCACACATACACAAACATGATGATGTAGGAGAGACTTGAGCATGCTTATTGAAATATATCTCTTTCTCAGTCTTTATCACCATTTTGTGGTGTGAAAGATAAATTCTGTCATCTGAAAAATGTCAGCTGCTGCATACAATATTGATTTATAACTTGGTTAATTCAAAACTATAAAATAATTAATAATGCAGGTATCTCTTAGGGCGCACAATATGCACATAAAAATAAGTTGCTTCTGCTTTCATTATTGATGCCACTCAATTATTTGACAAATTGTCACAGGTGTTAGCAGACATGAGACCTTTTTTATTGATAAAAAAATGAAACATGAAGCACTGGTTAAAGGGAACTATAAACAAAATGATACAATAATAAAATGTCCTTTAAGGCTTATGTCTAAAGGAGAACAAATTTTAAACAGCAGACTGCCTGCATCTTGCCAAGGCAAGGGAGTTAACTGACTATGAAGGGAAATTTTACAGTGAGTTTACTCACTTGCCTTGGGAAGATGTCTGCTTGTGAAATAGTTAAGGGACTTCAGTGGAGGTCCTTCAGGTGTGCTGCCTCAGTACTTTAATTTTAGGGACCATCACAGGCTTTTTGAAAAGAGTTATCACAGCACTGGACAAAGAACTTTTAGGATTATTTTCATGTTATTTTCTAACATTGCTGTTAATTTTATTCACTGCATTTTGCTGGCAGTCCTCTTAGTATTATAACAGGTATGTATCTAAGTCTGTGCCAGGACTATGTAAACATTCCTGTCATTTATTCAAAACTGGTTCTGCTTGTCGGTTGTGTGTGGACATACTTGAGTCACCAAGCTTGTCCAGGTACGGGCAACCAGTTTAGCGTGTTTTTAGAAATAATTAAATTATTATGAAAAACTGCATCCCAGTGTTTGACATTTTCACCATGTTCACAGTGAACTTTAAATTATATCAGGGTTCGACATTAAGAGAGGTCCTAGGGGCATGTTATGAATATGACAGTTTGCTGCTACAATACCGGTATTTGAATCTTGGACCTCTAATAAATCTTTAACATTTAACATTGGTGTAAAGACAAGAACCCCCTGACTTCCATGCTCAATTTCGAACAGTGTATATATACATGATATAATGTACATGATTCTGTAGGGGGATATTTAATTCCATTACCATGATCAATATGATCACATGTTGATATTTATACAGGGATTTCTGCAGACCTGCTAAGAGCATGTAGGCCATGGTCGGGCCCCTAGCAAATGTCAGAAAATCCAAAATTGGGATTAAAACATTCCCAGAATTCATGTTAATATTGTTGTGACTAATGATACATGTTTCACATGTTTTACCTCTGACTTGTATTTCACTGAAAGCAGGACCAATAAACATGATAAAGAGGATGGGGCTTTATTGCTTAGTTTTCCATCATTACATCATTACATTGAATGAAACGTTAAATACAATGTTAATATATCTCTTACTTTAACAAATCCTAAGTTTGAACAAAGTATACAAAAAAATTCCAAAAGACTAGTGTAAACCTTACTTCACTTGTCGAGGGGCACGGGTTGCCCAGTCGTCTAAGGCGCTGCGATTCGCTGTGCAGATTAGTGTCCCTTGGGCAAGCCAGAAACCTATGATCATTGGTTGAATCCCGGTTCGCCCTGATTATGTTTCTAGGTTTGTCAGCACCATACTCCTGCTCGTGGGTTTCACCAAAGTGGTAAACGTCTGAGACCTGCATCACTTCGGGCTTTCCTCCCACAATAAGCTGACACACCGTGATATAACTGGAATACTGTTAAAAGCAGCGTTAAACCCAACTCACTCACAATACCTCAATTGTCCTGAGTGTCTGTAGCTGGTCATGTTTGAACAAACAAAACTGTTTACTATGTTTACATTTTCTATCAGTTTTATTCAGTTCCAGTTTGTGTAAAAATTGAAGCATTGAGAACAGGTTCAGAGTTATAGCCCTCAAATGCTACTAGTCCATGAGGACTGCCGTCATTGGATTTTCACTTTTCTTAGAACAATTTAGTACTACTAATAGTAGGCTAGCAGACTGGCATGAACTTAGAAGGCTGCAAACATGATATGTATCATGATTTATTACCCAATTCTGGTCAACGGTGGTGGTTTCCACAGTACATATACACAATGATACACAGTAAGATATTTATCAATGTTTCCAGTTAACAGACGTATTTGTTTCTGAATTTTGGATGGTTGTCAGATCATTGTCCTGATCACCAATCTGTTAATTTTATTGTGATCATGTACACATATTCAGTATGTTGTTGACATGATGTGTGGGCCCGTGAAGATCTGGGGTAGAATAGGCCTTCAGCAACCCGTGCTTGCCGTAAAAGGCGACTATGCTTGTCGTAAGAGGCGACTAACATGATCGGGTGGTCAGACTCACTGACTTGGTTGATGCATGTCATCGATCCCAATTGCGTAGATCGATGCTTATGTTGTCAATCACTGGATTGTCTGGTCCGGACTCGATTACTTACAGACCGCCGTCATATAGCTGGAATATTGCTGAGTGCAGCGTTAAACAAACATGATGTGTGATACCTGTGAAAATCTGTGTTAGAATAAGTCTTCAGCAAACCATGCTTGTTGTAAGAGGCAACTAACGGGATCAGGTGGCCTGGCTCGCTGACTTGGTTGATGCTTGTCATCCTATCCCAATTGTGTAGATCGATGCTCATGATGTCCATCACTGGATTGTCTGGTCCAGACTCGATTATTTGAAGACCACTGTCATATACCTGAATATTGCTGATTGCGGCATTAAGCAAGAAACAAAAAAACAAAACATGGTGTATGATGCTTCAATAACTTGCTGGGCTTATCATCCTACTTCCCAGTGTGGATTCCAGGTCAGAATAGGTCCCTAGCAACCTACGCTGGTCATAAAGGCCACCTATTAGATCAGATGGTCAGATTCGTAACCCGAGGACATGGGATGTTGTTCACAATATCCATCACTGGATTGTTTGGTCCACATACAATTATTGACAGGCCACTGTCGGGTCCAAGATTATTGCACTTATATAGCAACGTGCGTGTATGTGTGTGTGTGTGTGTGTGTGTGCTTGTACCAGTCCCTACTGATTTATGGTGCTAGCACACTGAGATACCATGCCGCAATTTGACATGAATACCCCTCTTAGACACAGTTTACTGATTCTGAGCCGACCAGTTGTTGATTTCGCCCCTTAATGCCGGGCGCCAGACATAGTAACATCAAGTACCATCTTTTAATGTCTTTAATGTCGCGGCCGGGCGGGCTCTCTGGGCGGGCTCTCCGGGCGGATGCTTTACCAGTAGACCAGGGAGGTGATTGTTATATCAGGCAAAGTCTTGATAACATGTAGATTATGTATGACATCTGATCTTGATAACATTAAGATGTTAGCAATGGTCGTTTGGGAATGCAGACAGGTCAATGATTAGAATTATGCCAGTTAGATGGTTATCATAAGTATGTGATACAACACAGTAAACACCTGTCATGTTTGTGTAACACTGTTATGACCTGTCCTGGATAAGAGGCACAGTGCACCACTTCAGCTTTCCTCCCACTTTAAGCTGACACGCAGCGATATAACTGTTATACTGTTAAAAGCGGCGTTAAACCCAACTCACTCACTCACTATTTAATTATGATTTCCTTAGGTAAATGAATTATATATATATGGGGTTAATATATTTTTCAAAGTTAAATACTGTTACCATGGTTACCATTAGCATGATTATCTTGTATTATTCATGCTTTTATCATCATGTTTTTGCGGGAGAAATGACATAATGAAGTGTGCAGTTGTCGTCGCTATGTGCTCAGTACAATAACTATTATTAACATGCAAATTATTTTATCTACTTCTTTTTCGATTGGAAGGTTAGATTAAATCATATACACGTTTAAACTACCTAATTGTGGATGCTAAGAAATAATGAAATACTCTTAATACAGATAAGTGGACATCCTTATATGTTAAACATTATAAGCCGGAAGATTAATTGGAAAGTAAGGTTAAAATATTGATTGCAGTTTGGTTGCAGATATCAATTTTCCTAGGTAGACACAATTTTATGGATAACAGCTTCTTTATTACTGTAAAAAGCGACATTTTGGTATAGATCCTTATACTGTTGTCAAGCAAGACTGAATGAGGGACATAGTACAGAATATATATAGTAGGTCAACTTC